CACATACACAATGACACCCAGACCCGGAACAACAATTTGTGGCTCACACAAAGTGTTGTTCCGTACGGGAATCAAACCCGCGACACGTTACACGGCAGCCGGTTGCCCAGCCACCGCACCAACCGTGCAGTCTAAATTCGATTGGAACTGCAATCTATTATTTTTTTTTATTGATTAGACCGTATATCAAGTAAGAAAATATCACGCTACAACCGAAAGGATGGTGTACCGGCGCAGTAACAGCTTATAATCTAGTTGTTAATATTTTTCCACGGAATTAAAAAAAAAACAGTTGGGTAAGGAACCGACTTCCTTATTAGGACCTTCAAACCTTCAAGGAAAGAGCTTTATTCCTTTTTAAAAGGCTGGCAATGCACCCGTTACTCCAGCCCTTCCGTCGTGGACATGCTGCCACCCTGTTCTTATATTTTGATTTTTTTTGCCTTCATTTTTTTACTGCTGTTTTTTTTTAAATGTTATTTTATGTTCTAATTGTTTTTTAATTTTGTTTGTTTTTCAATGTTATTTTGTTATTATTTTGTGTGTTCATATTCGGTTGTCCATGTCTGGTGGCGAGCATCTAAATTATTTTTCTTTCATTTCTTTCTCATGGGCGGCGCTGATAGTCTACCATCAGATGACCTGCTCGTCCACTTCCTATTCAAAAAAAAAGGAAAAATTGGTTCGATCGTGACTGATAAGCAAGGAGTGTATGATGTAATCAGTCTTTATAGAAGTAAAATTAAAGTCACTTTAAATTTTAGTATTTCAGAATTGTTAAATTAAACTTTTCATCAGACCCCCACAGATGGGGCCCAATAGGGCTGATGCCGACACAGAGCCGCGGAGGGCTTAACGGTTTCCCGGGGCTCTGGTTCGAAGTGCAGGAGTAGGAACGGGGTGGTTTTTAGTCAGTAAGAGTCTGACACTCCCTCCCGCCTCACCCAGGCGGGAGAAGTCATTCGATGATTTCCCCACTAAAAAAAAAAACAGCCAACTCAGTTCAAACTGATAATCATTCAATTCTTTAAATTCATTGCTCTAAAATATAAAATATTGCAGGTGAACAAATAAATATAATACGACCAATTTGTTTTTCTAACCGTAAGAAACATATGTGTTCATATAAATGTCCTTTGCAAAAAATATACTATATAGGTCAAAGTTACTCACAGCTGATAATATGCAAATTTAAAGTAAGTAATAAAAACTAGGTCAATCACATGGAGGTGAGACAGGTGATAACTAATTATCTACCTAATTAAGTGTGAGTTAAGATTCATTTTTGGTTGTGTTATCAGATTTATGGTTATATTTAGGTGAGTAGTTTTTGTGATGAAACCATTTTCGGCACGAATGGGCCGGCTCGACCGGAGTGATACCACGGCCTCACAGAAAACCCCTACAATCCTCAAACTCCTAATCCCCAAAGGCCGGTAACGCACTTGTAACACCTTTGGTGTTCCAGGTGTCCAAGGCCGACGCCGATTGCTTACCATCAGGTAATCCATCTGCTCGTTTACCAGCTTACTCTATGCAAAAAAGAGTGGTATCACGGCCTCACAGAAAACTGACGTGAAACAACGACGTATTTAGCCGTGTTGTGAGTGTTGTTACCAAAGGGACCCAATCCTGCTCCTCCTTCGAAGGCCGGCAACGCACTAGAAACTCCTCTGGTGTTGCAGGTGTCCGTGGACAACGCTGATTGCTTACCATCAGGTGATCCATATCCCATTTTTTTTAAGGGAGAAAATCATGGAATGATTGCTCCCGCCTGGGTGAGGCGGGAGGGAGTGTCAGACTCTTACTGACTAAAAACCACCCCGTTCCTTCTCCTGCACGTCGAGCCGGAGCCCCTGTAACCAGGGTTCTTAGGTTTCCCGCGATGATCCATGTCCCATGGTACCGAATTTGATTAAGTACCTAGTTTTCAACTACCGTTTAACGCGACGTCTTTCGCCAAAATTGATGACCCAAGATTTGACATTGACAAGACATTTTATGACACCTGTCGTCAACTATTTTGCCAACTTGCTTTGAAATATTGGTTCATGGATACGGCTCAAATACCTAACAGTTACACCTTACTTATCTAGACGTAAAAAATATCGTTTTTTTTGCTTCTCCCCTTATAATATCTTCTGATTCACTTCGTTGCGGGAACCAAGACAGTTATTCATGTCCCTGGGACGCGTCGGACTTCAGTTTTCCGTTGTTTTCATGGTTGTATCTACTGTAGATCCTAGTTTTTATTTTTTTTTTGTTTTATATTTTTTAGTTCCTGGCTTACAGGGATTCCAGCTGTTTTGGAAGGTTGTGGCGGGCCTGTCCCACAAAAAGCAAGATGTAAAAAAATTTAAAACTGTAAAAGTATTGGGCCTCCGGTAACCTCACTCACATAACGAAACACAACGCAAGCGTTGCTTCACGTCAGTTTTCTGCTCGGCCGTGGTATCACTCCGGTCGAGCCGGCCCATTCGTGCCGAAGCATGGCTCTCCCACACTTTTCGAGTCTCTTTCAGTTTTCTCTCCTTATCCAAATACCATGATAATATATTATCTATTCAGTTATTTAGGATAACAAACTAAAAGGTAATTAGTTAGTAATTTTCCTGACACTTCACTTACAAAATACTGCATAATGTTATGATATGATATTTACAATTTTCCATTCATAATCACTGTGAATGGAAAAATTATGTTGGACCTATTGATGCTATGGTAAAAACGTCGCGAGGCTCGTCGTTTTTTTTTTAGGGGGGAAAATCATCGAATCGCTGCTCCCGCCTGGGTGAGGTGGGATTGAGTGTCAGACTCTTACTGACTAAAAACCACCCCGTTCCTTCTCCTGCACGTCGAGCCGGAGCCCCGGTTACCCGTTAGGTGCGTCGCGAGGCTCTGGTGGTTAATGCGATCGCTTCTCGTTCATGAGAGTGTGGGTTTGAATCTTGGCAAGCACAAAAAATGTACAAGTGTTGCCCTAGACGGACATAAAGTGACTAGATTGGCGATATATTAAAGAAGGGCCAAATTAAAAGTACCCTTAACCGACGAGCATGCATGAAAAGATTGATGACTGTTAATGAAGCGAAAGAGGTATGTAAGAATCGTAGTAATTGGCGTTCCTTAGTCTCTGCATACCCCCATGGGAGACAGGCGTGAAGTTATGTATGTATGTTTCCAAATTTGGTATCAGTATTTTCAATGTTATCAGAAAGGTTAGTGTCGCTAAGGTTAAGGTTAGGTTCAAAGGGTCTCGAGTTTGATTCTTACTTAGGTAGTTTAATAGTACTTACTATGAAACCTAAATAATTTGTTCATAATCTAGTTTTCCATATAAAATATACATAAGTATGGGCGCCGAGAATGCGTACGCGCATATTTTGTTAGCTAGTAAAGATGACATTGAACATAACATCGCATACGAGATTTGTTTTGAGTGATAGATCTGAGGATTTATTTTAAAACTTTTATATGCTCAACGTCAGTAGACGTCGCGGCAGGCCCAAAAGGAGATGGCGGGACGAACTAGACATCTATGACAAGGATTGGCCGCAAAAAGCTTTACATAGAGAGAAGTGGAAGGAGGGTAGGGAGGCCTTTGCCCTGCAGTGGGACGATCATGGCTGAAAATAATTAATAATAAATAAATAAATATGGACTGACGTTTCACCACTATCTCGCCTGGTGGTAAGTGATGATGCGGTCTACGATGGAACACGTCGTCCCATCATCATCATCAGCCTCTTTTCCTCCACTGCTAGACATAAGCCTCTCCAATGGCACGCCACTGAGCTCGGTCTTCAGCTCTACGCATCCAACCACTACCAGCCACTTTACGTATATCGTCACTCCACCTAGCTGGAGAGCGCCTTACATTACGTTTGTCTTGTTTGCAGTCGTTCTATAAGCAACACTTTTTTGCTGACTTTTTATTAATTTAACTCGTCGAGTACCGTCATTATAGACACAATTATAGAACAATAGGTTGCGGTCACCGGTGACCGCTTGGTGTTTGACAGTTTAATCGCTGAAGGTACTATCGGCAAATTTTACGGCTGTACACTTTTGAAACAAAATCTTATGGTGAACTCGCTATCCACCGTGCGTTTTGCCTGTGGTCCTTCGCACGGAGTGCATACGAATATCGCCTATATTGATGGTCGACCGCCAACTTTGTCCATTGTACTGGCAGAGAGGCACATAATAGTAAATAAACGTTTCTCTAATTGTGTTAGGTTTAGTCTCATTGCCTTGTCGCGGAGAACCTAAAGGGTTACCGGGGCTCCGGCTCGATGTGCAGGAGAAGGAACGGGGTGGTTTTTAGTCAGTAAGAGTCTGACATTCCCCCCCGCCTCACCCAGGCGGGAGCAGTCATTTGATGATTTTCCCCCTTTAAAAAAAAAGTGTCATTGCCCTAATCCCTTTAAATGGGGGCAGCTCTATAGCTTTACAATGGGCAAAATTCGAGGTTTCAAGTTAAGTTATTGATAAATAAAAAGGGGAAAATCTTCGCTATACTTTGCCTGACTCATATCGAATCTTTGCCAACACTTGTACTAAACCAATGAGACAGTCTAGATTTTTAAATAAGACATCGATGCACAATCTAAGACCTAGATAATTTTACGTTACATAAAAACGGTACAGTACAAAACAGATTCAGACATCACATTGTTATTCCAAAACCGAATAGATCAATCAAAATGTTCAGTCGAGTACATTCGAATTAAACACAAAGGATGCATCTTCGGATCGATCCGGTGACATACTTCGCACTATGTTCCAATGTCATTGTGAATACAAAAAAAAAAATAAAAACCGACCCGTAATGTCGCATTTAGTTTTCGGCCGCCATAATGTGCGGACGTTTCAAATTTTGAATTTCGATTTTTTTTTATTATTTCATTTTTGTTTCCATATTTTTTTTCCTTTTTGTAACGAAGGAGGTTCTTTGTCTTATTTTTTTTAAGTTTTATTGTTAGATTTTTTTCGAAATCATGCTGAAATACATAACCTCCCTATTTTTGGTAATCGGTGCAGTGAACTGCGATTATTTCCTGAATAGAGTTAATCATTTAGAGTATTACAGAAATAGGACAAATCCTAGGCCTTCTAAGTCATTTTCTAGTTTTTCTACGAATTATTTTAATCAGAATTTAGTGACTAAACCCGTGAAGGGAGAAAAAGTGCAGTGTGGTACTAGAACGGTGGATTTTAACCCTCGTAGGACGGGGAAGATTGTTGGAGGCACTGAGACCCCTTATGGGGCATTTCCTTGGCAAGTAAGTGGTATTTCTGTATATTTTCATCATTCACTGTTCTAAGTCATGGTTATATAAAAAAAAAAAAAATTTCTGTGACATAAGATGTGATCAATTTTTTTGTTTTTCTTTGGGATTTTTTTTTATTTTAGTTTTGACAGATTTTTGGTAGTTTATTGTAGTTCAATTCAATTCAATATTATTAAACTGTCGACTCGGGGTGTAAGTTTTAAAATCAAGTTGCGAATGGGGCCCAATAGGGCTGATGTCCGATACGGAGCCGCGGAAGGCCTAACGGGTTACCGGGGCTTCGGTTCGAAGAACAGGAGTAGGAACGGGGTGGTTTTTAGTTAGTAAGAGTCTGACACTCCCTCCCGCCTAACCATAGGTGGGAGAAGACATTGGATAATTGCCCCCTTAAAAAATAGAGGTTAGTTTTTTCGGTTTACGAAGATATTATTATGAAGGAACTTACGATGTTAAAATGTTAAGGAGATACATAAATTATGTAAGGAATTGAAACCATTTCATAATTAATTCAAGAACAGAAAGAAATTACTTATGTTTTCTATTTTATTGCGGGACCCAAGACAGTTGGTCACATCGATATAAATAAAAATGAATTTTTGTTCGTTAGTCTTGCTAAATCTCAAGAACGGCTGAACCAATTTGGCCAATTTTGGTATGAAATATTCGTGGAAGTCCAGGAAAGGTAAGACAAAAAATTTTAGGCAATACGAAGTTTGCTTGATTAGCAAATAGGTATAATAAAGAAATTGTAATATATCTGTGGTTTTTCATGTCTGTGGGACTTCAGTTTCGCGGTGTTCGAATGGTTGTATTTACGGTAGTCCTGGTGCACAGGAGTTGATCTGGTCAAGAGCGTATAGCATGCAGTTGGAGGGTTGGAGATCGCTTTCGTCGAGTACCGGTTTTGTAGACACAATTATAGAACAATAGGTTGCGGTCACCGATGAGCGCTTGGTGTTTGACAGTTTAATAGTTTCAGTAGTTTTATTTGAGACCACTACAAAGCATGAAAGCAGGATTAATGTGGTAGACATAAAGGTCCTGAGAAGTATGTGTGCAGTAAAATTGAGTGATCGAGTGAAAATAGTGTTATTAAAAAAAGGTTATGTAGTGACAAGGATTGCAAAGGGAATGTTACGCTAGTTTGGACATGACAGGATGTATGAAAGTAGAGTAACGAAAGAAGTATACAGAGCGGATATGAATGGGGCTGTCGGTAGAGGGCGCTGTACTAAAAAAGGACCAAATTAAAATTACCCTTGACCGACTTGAGCTTGCATGAAAAGATTGATGACTGTTGATGAAGCGAAAGAGGTATGTAGGAATCGTAGCAATTGGCGTTCCATATCCGTCTCTGCCTAGCCCTAGTTTCCTAACTCCCGGTAACCCGTTATGTTCTCCGCGGCTCTGTATCGGCATCAGCTCTGGTGGGCCCCATCCGAAGGGTGGAGACAAATATATAAATACAAATTCATTATTTTATTACGTTCCAAAATGTTTGAATTAGGTGATAACATAGAATAATATAGATTATTGTGGACCTTGTTGGGCACAGTAAGGAAATACATTAATTTTAATACAATAAGTGTATTTTATCCCGTTGTCACTACATTATTCTAATCTAATATACAACGTGAAATCTATATTGCTTTCGTCCCGAAGTAAAATGGTTCTGTCTCCGTAATACAATAGTTTTACAAACAAATACAATGTTTAAAACAAAAAATAACTGGTGAACCATTGCAACGCAAACTTCGAAAGCGCATACGAACTCATAGTACATTTGTATTGTAACTTTCGTTAGACATACTAAATAAATTATTATGTTTTCGGCTTACTCACGTAGTAATTTGACGAGGAACTTTATTAGTACATAGTACATTAGTACATGCCTACATAGTATATTACTAGCTGACCCGGCAAACTTCGTCCCGCCTAAAAGTTTTTTTTCACCTTTTAAACCTTCCCTAGACTTCCACGAACATTCTAAAACCAAAATTAGCCAAATCAGTTCAGCCGTTCTCGAGTTTTAGCGAGACTAACGAACATAAATTCATTTTTATTTATATAGATAGATTATACAAGGAACATAGTACATTATCAAAACATCGCGCCATGTGATTCTCGAAGAGGTATTTCTCGTCGGGTGGCACGTGCGATGCGGATAGTGCCTTCATTACATCTAGTGTCACGTATACGAAAGTAAATGATATTTTTTCAAAGCAAAAAAAAATATATTTTTTTTGTTTTTACTTTATACATCGAAAGTAATCCTAATGACAAGTCGTTTTGCCATTAGGAGTACTGTAGAGTGCATTAACCCTGTGATTGAATTTTGATCTGAAGATTGACATTCGTACTTGCAATTACTAAAACAAAGGCAGATCAAACATATTTAAAGAAGGGTCTTGTCACCATTAACTCGTCGAGCACCGTCAATATAGACACAATTAAAGAACAATAGGTTGCGGTCACCGGTGACCGCTTGGTGTTTGATAGTTTAAAGTCATTAAAGTCACCATATTCTTGTTAATACACGCCCATACTATGTCAGCATATCATCTTAAATTGTACACAAGACTACACATCGACCTGTACATAACCAGTATAAACTGAACGTTAAATGTGCGGAAAGATGATGCGACGCGACACCAGGATAAACTGGTTTTGTATAGATTGATGTGTGGCCGTGTGTACAACCCAATTCTTGTTTAAAACAAAAAAAAATATGTCCTATATTGACATTGTTTTGTCAACAATTAGGTCATTATTACGAACTAGCTGTTGTCCGCAAATTCGTTAGTGTGGAATTGTGATTCACAGCTCCTCCCCCGTAGGTAATAGCGTGATAATATGTAGCCTATATGTTGACCAGACCTGTTAGTAATATTCATGCAAAATTTGAAGTAAAACCATGCAGTACTTTTGGAGATCATCCCGGACATACATACAGACAAACAGACAAAAATTCTAAAAGCCATATTTTTGGTTTCAGTATTCTTTTTGAAAAATATTCAATGTACCTACAGTACAAAAAACACATTCGTTTGTCTTTACGGGTTACCTACCACCCTAGACGAGAGAAGTCTTTTTTATATGTAATGTGCCGATGCACGCGACGATTGACCACGATCTCGCTTTGTGGCAAGCGATAATGCAGCCTATTATGGAGTCAAGACTAATTACCTCCTCATAAAATAAATAAAAGCAAGGGTTTCTATTTCTGCATCGGGTATAGTGTTATTAAAGCTTTACCACATAACATAACATAACATCACGCTTTTTATCCCCGAAGGGGTAGGCAGAGGTGCACATTACGGCACTTAATGCCACTGTACAATGTAACACTCACTTTTCACTATTTATGTTATGAGTCCCATGTAATAGTGTGTGAGCCTATTGCCAAATACCGGGCACAATTCCAGACTCTGTGCTACCACTGAGAATTTTTTAACACCCAGTAATACTTTACCCGACCCGGGAATCGAACCCGAGACCCCTTAGCGGCAGTCGCACTTGCGACCACTCGCCCAACGAGGTAGTCTTTACCAGGTTTAATAAAAAGTCTTTATCGTATCTCTAGTCATACCTCGTTCTGTCAAGTCAGGAGATTGTGGTATACTCTCTTACATAGAGGAAGCTCGTTATAGTCCAATAGTAGTCTTTGTGGATGATGAAACACAAAAACAGTACAAAAGCGTCAGTCAACATAACGTAACCGAAAAATAAAACAAAACAAAAAATAACACAATACATAATTCAATAAACCACACACCTTGCTATACAAAACCCACCCTTGTCCGCACAAAAATAAAACCGAAAATCCATAAATCACAATTTGACATATTGCATAAGTCCGCCATCTTTGCTGTTTCGTTCCCGCGCAAAGAGGTCGTGAAATGTCAAGTTGACAGATATTGTTACGTTCGAAAATGAATGGCGGGTAATTATTGGAACTTTCACTTTTTGTAAAGAGGTTGTTTTCATGGTGGTATTTGCGTTTTGAATCATCAATTTAAATTGGCTTCGAGTTTGGTTTGAAAAGAAACCGAGAGTGACAATTTAGATAATTGCTGGGTTTTAATGGCGGCTTTATTGTTGTACTTTTACTTGCACTCTTTTCTAATGGTGTTCTATGTGTTTGTCAACAAGTTAAATAGAACGATTAGGTTAGAATGGATTTCCGGGTTGACTAAAGCATTATATTTATAGATTTAAAAATGCAACGAAACCAACAATAAACTAAATCGGGAATCAAATTAAACAACCTTCAGTAGTCACAGCAGCTTCAAAAACGAACTTATTTTGTTAATTTTGTGAAAATATGCTTTGTGCAGTGGCTGGGCTGCCATGCAATTAGTTTCTTAGCCTTACACTGTTACAACTCACTTGCACTGTTCTCAAATTTAAACCACTTTTCCGAATAAAAATTACGAACGTTGTTGCGCGGGCAAATGTTCGACGACGAAGTGCAATGTGTCGTGGGTTTCATTTCCGCACGGAACGACATTTTGTGTGATCCACAAATTGTTGTTTCGGGTCTGGGCGTCATGTGTATGTGAACTTGTTTCTAAACGCACCAACAACACAGGAGAAAATCCTGGTGTGGTAGCCCCGTTATTTTTTTCTTTTAAATCAAAACTGCAGATCCAATCAGCTATGAGGTGACGATAGTGCAACAAAGCTACCCCACTCTTCCTGCGAGGTTTTATAAGAGCTAACAAAAGGTCTTCTTACATATTTGACACAGACGGGGCAGAAGCTCTCTTTGCTAAACTTAACCTCCAATTCACTTGCCAAAACCATCCGGTTCAGCATGACATCTAAAGGTGCTCCCTCACCGGGCGCGTGTAATGTAACATTTTAGATTTGACTTTGAGCATTTCATAGCAAGATATCAGACGAAGCAGGCGGGCGGGGGGCGGGGGGCATTGATGTTACAAGTTGTATCAAGATATTACACATTGTATCATTACAAGGTACGCATTGTAATGCTCAGTTCTCCTCCTTCACTGATGTAATGCTCAGATCTGTAACGTTACATTACACGCGAATGCTCGCGGTGAGCACCTTAAAATGTTTTTTTAATAACTATCGTGAGACATACTAAATTACCAAAAAGCTGCAGTCACGGCTCATGAGGAAGAACCCCTCTGTGGTTCGAAACTAGTAGAGCTTTTCTCAGTATATTCACGTGAGTAACTCACGATTTTTAGTTGACATCTAAAAAGATTATATTTCTGATTCCAGGTGGAAATTCAGATGCTGGACGTGGATAAGCTGACCTTCGAGCACCATTGTGGAGGAGCTGTCATAGCTGAGAGGCTGGTACTGTCTGCTGCACACTGTTTTGACAAGGTATGTTGCCATTTTGTGTATTAAACTGTCAAACACCAAGCGGTCACCGGTGACCGCAACCTATTGTTCTATAATTGTGTCTACAAAACCGGTACTCGACGAGTTAAATCTATGTCTGTTAACTCGTCGAGTACCGGTTTTGTAGACACAATTATAGAACAATAGGTTGCGGTCACCGGTGACCGCTTGGTGTTTGACAGTTTAAATATGATGTCTGATATACGAGACACAATAGAAAACTAATGTGGCGTGGTGGCCCGGAGGTTTAAGAGGCCCGCTTCTCATGCATGAGGGCGCGGGTTCGAAACCTACAAACGGCAAGTACCAATGTGACTTTTTCCGAGTTATATGTACTTTCTAAGATTATCTAGACACCACTGACAAACGGTGAAGGAAAACATCGTGAGGATACCTGGACTTATAATTTCTAATTATATCGCCCAGATCCGAAACAACAATTTTTGGATCACACAAAGAGTTGTTCCGTGCTGGAATCTAACCTGCAGCAAGGTGCACCTTCTTCTTAATTTAGGATGCTTCACAATAAACAATTATCGATCGAATGGTTACAAGTGCGTCTGCCGAGGTCGGAGTATGGTATTGTTGTGAATGATTCAACTGAAACGTGGGTGCTAAGTTATATACTTCTGGCTACACCTTCGGATGTTATGTTAATCAATAAATCACATTAATTTAATTACTAGCTACTTTCGCGCGGTTTCACACGCTCTGCTCAGCTCCTATTAGTCGTAGCGTTATGTTTTATAGCCTAAAGCTATCCTCGATAAATGCGCTATCCAACACAAAAAGAATTATTCAAATCAGACTTGTAGTTACGGAGATTAGCGCGTTCAAACAAACAAACAAAAAAACAAACTCTTCCGCTTTATGTAGTAGTATCTGAATATAAGATTCAAGATCTACTAGACTATAGAATAACACTAATATTATGAAACGGATTCCAAACTAATTCTAAAAACCACCAATCATAAAGTCCTATATTCTTTACAGCAACCTCTAAACTTGGAGCACATACGTCTGGTGGTAGGCGAGCACCGTTTGAAGGTGCAGGACAAGCATGAGCATCGGTTCCTCGCTGAGAAGGTGGTTCTACATCCTGACTTCAGAAAAAGTGAGTTGCATACTTATATGATGAACGAGCAGTTCGTTCATGGTCACCCGCTACACCAGAGGAGTTACATGTGCTTTCAGTCTTTTGAGAGGAGTGTTAGGCTTCCAGAACGATCGTGCGGTGCGTCACCTTCCGCGCTCGCCTCAAAGAGCCATCAGACCACCACAGATGACGCCCAATAGGGCTGATGCCGATACGGAGCCGCGTAGAACTTAACGGGTTACCGGGGCTCCGGCTCGACGTGCAGGAGAAGGAACGGGGCGGTTTTTAGTCAGTAAGAGTCTGACACTCCCTCCCGCCTCACCCAGGCGGGAGCAGTCATTCGATGATTTTCCCCCTTAAACAAAGGCTTTGTTTAATGTCAGTGTTCTATGAAGTCATGGTATCACTCCGGTTGAACCAGCCCAGCAGTGCTGGAACTGGTTGACAGTGGTTGACGAGAAACTCGACTATCTCGACTTGACTCTTGACTGCGGCGGTAGTTGCCATGTCGTGTGTCGCGGAATGCTGCTCATGAATATGAGCCTCTAGTATGGCTTCAAACTAGGGTCAACAGTAAAAACAATAATTAATTTAGTATGTCTCACGAAAATTATAATAATCAGCTTCAACAACGAGAATCTTGTGAAAGCTGAAAAAGATAAAGCGAGTAAATATCTTGATTTAGCTCATGAGATTGTCGACATGTGGGATGTGGATTCAGCAGTCATTGTGCCGATAGTCGTATCTGCCAATGGCCTCATTGCTAAAAGCCTCGACCAACATCTGAGTAGGCAAGCGTTAGATGCTTGGGTCAAGGGCCTGATGCAGAAAGCAGTTCTTCTGAACACGGCCCGTGTTGTCCGGACATTCCTCTCTGGAGCCCTGACCACCGGTAGCTTGGATTTCTCCCGTTATTGGTGGGCTACTGCTTTTTATATTTTAAAATGTTTCACTTTTAATTTATATAAGACCAATTATTAGGAATCCATCATAAACAAACTCAATATGTTGTTTCTGTAATCAAAAGATTTTTTATTTAACCAATGGTTTACAACATAAAAAAGTAAATTAAACTTTACACACTAAAAACGACATTTAAAGAAACGACATTTAAAGTTTATTATTAGGCATGTCGATTCCTATATTATACTTAAATTAATAATAAATAGTTATTATTAATTTGTTTATTTCAATCACTTGTGACATAAACGTCCATTCGAAATCTTTTATATTAAACACCCACACTATATCACATGCTCATTCGCCACTTGTTCGTGTCCTCATAAATGATCTTCTGGCATCATCACCAGAGTTTGATATATTTGCGTCAAGCTGGAGGACGGTGTGCAAAGAATGCATGAAGTTGTGCGAATGTATAAATGCATAACTGTATTTTATATTATGTTGTGTTGTAAATATCTTATTTATATTATATTGTTTATTTTGCTTATTGGTATTTAAACTGTCAAACACCAAGCGGTTACCGGTGACCGCAACCTATTGTTCTACCTCTATAATTGTGTCTATAATGACGGTACTCGACGAGTTAAACCTGTCGTAGTTTGTAAGGTTTTCTTATTCTTTGTTTTATCTAAGGACTGTTCTGTTTTGTTTTTTTTTTATAATTATTTGAAATTTGTAACGCCTTGGTTTTATTACTGTAATGTTATACTATTTAATTGAACGTAAATAAATAAATTTTACAGTCTTTATCGATAAAGAAACAATGCAGGTGATAGCTCCATCTATCGTCCTTCTAAATAAACTAAAGTAAAAGTCGGTAAAGTAGTTACCGAATTGAGAGAGAGAAGTGCTGCAAAATAAATAAAGAAATCTTATTTCTTTATATCTTATCACGTAAAGAAAATAAATGAAGAGAATAATAACGTCAACACTATCTTTATACCTCTAAGATCTAGCAGCCAGTCCCAGGCTTCGCACGGGGTAGACAATTATTAATTTTTGGAAATTTGGATTGTTGTAGTGACATAACTACAATAGTTGGACATATGCTACCGCGGAGTTTTTTGTAGACATTATGATGTTCTTCAATATTGTTGTACATTATTTTGTTCTATCGCTAATAGTTTCGGCAGCGCATTCGACGAAAGACATTTTAAGACTTATTTTTCTACACATTCGGTTACATTGTTCAAATTTTACCAAGGATCCCTAATTTTTTTCCAAATGAAATGTAGCCTATGTCAAACTGGAAGAATGTATCTATTGGTGAAAGAATTTTTTAAATCGGCCCAGTACTTTTTGAGCCTATTCATTACTAGCGGCCCGTCCCGGCTTCGCACGGGGGGACTTAAGATTTTTTACATAGTTTTACGTTTTATTTATATTTATTCTCAGTTTTTTTTTTATTTAGGAAGTATTTACCTTTTGAAAATATTTTTCCGGACTTCATTTACTTATTTCATTTATTTATGAACAATTCATCTATAGAGCATTTTTGTATAACTTTAACTATATGCTCAGCGCACGCCACGGAAGACCTCAGAAACGATACTTTTCCCCCGTTTTAAAACATTTTTGGTTACTGCTCCACAACTATAGGACCTAGCGTGATATTATATAGTCTATGTTACTTCTGAATAATGCAGCTTTCTAATGGTGAAAAAGTTATTGCAATCGGTCCAGTAGTTTTTGAGTTTATTCATTACAAACATACAAAAATAGGTACAAATCTTTCCTCTTTATAATATTAGTATAGATAACTCAATACTGTACGCATATGTAAGAACAATGCAAAGACACGCTTGACGCATTATACTACTAACTTACTAAAATAAAAATAAAAATAATAAAGATCTTAAGTCCAACATGGTGCTCACATATGCATACTGACAATCCATAGAAATAGTGCTTCTATACAAGAAAAAGGAAACTCTTTGTTTCAATAAAGAAAGAAATGCTCGATGCCATAAGGAAACTAGATTGTCTACATTAGAATTAAAGTATTAAATTATGTATTATATTACCTACTATTGGAATTTAACTACTGACTACATTTGAGTATTGTCCAGTGGAGCCGAACCAACATGCTGCCAAGCATTCTTATCTTCAAGATAATCTGTCAGTGTGTAGTAAGCTTGATTACATAATTCGCGCTTAATATATGTTTTAAATTTACTTTCATTGAGATCTAGTATGCTATTTGGTATTTTATTATAGCATTTAATACCTAACCCCATAAAGGATTTCTGTACTTTGGACAGTCTGAATTGCGGTATAGCTAACTTATTTTTGCCTCTAGTATTAAAATTGTGTCTATCGCTTCTTTTTTCAAACAATTGCCTATTTTTCCTTACATACATTATATTTTCATATATATATTGACAGGGCACCGTTAAAATATTTATCGTTTTAAACAATTCTCTCAACGATTCGCAATTCCCTCTTTATAATATTAGTATAGATAGTATACAAAAAGCAACAAATTTTTTGACTTGTCTTTAACTCTATACCCTCAAAATTCCAGATGGCCCACACAGCAACGATATAGCTTTGATCTTGGTCTCCCGGTCTGGTAATGGTGTGCAGTTCAACTCCCATGTCAGGCCTATATGCTTGCCTGATGATGGAGTCACGGCTGGGAAGTGGTGTACCGTCAGTGGGTGGGGATTCCAGGCAGGTAATGTCACTTTTGTAATTATTTAGTTTAATTTAAAGTTTAACTGATGGTTGGGGTTTGGGATTTGATTTTCGATTTGAGTAAAATATTTTTGATATTTTTTTTTATGTAGCCTATCTTGCCATATAAAGGGCACGATTCCAGTTTAGAAACCCACTCTTTTAAAAATAAAAAGACAAAACCATTTTGCATGACATGCGAATCAAACCTCATATGCACATGCTCGAGAATTGTCATAATTAACCCCTCAACCACAGAATACTACCTCAACTGTGAAAGTCCAATTATAAAAACAATCGACCGCTTTTATAATCACAACTTTTTTCTACATATAACACCACGCCTTTTATCCCCGATGGGGTAGGCAGACTGTGCACATACGGCACTTAATGCCACTGTACAATGTAACAGCTACTTTTCACTATTTATGTTTTGAGTCCCATGTAATAGGGGGTGAGCCTATTGCCATATACCGGGCACAATTCCAGACTCCGTGCCATCACTGAGAATTTTTTAAAAACCCAGTAATACTTTACCCGACCCTAGAACGGAGCCACTGAACACGAGACCACTAGGCCAACAAGGCAGTCAATTTTTTTTCTATTTTCCAGAAAATACTGAAAACTTTGCGCCTATCCTAAGAGCGGCTGCAGTACCAGTGCTTGACTTGAACACGTGCAGGAAGAGTCAGGTCCTCGGTGGAAGACAGCAGACGATACTGGACTCTATGATCTGTGCAGGTGGGTATAAAATGGATAATACTAGAGATCTTAGACACAATAAGATAATATTGAACACAACACAACACTGTCAAACCTTTATTGTCTTTTTTATAATTTATTTATGCTGCATCGTGCCTGGTGATGAATTAATGTGTTTTCTTTCTTTCACTATAGTCAGAATTTTAATTAGATTCCAGATTTGACAATAGCTACTGTCATTTTGTGAAATAATGATACCACATATAATAGTGTAGTAATGCACACAAAAATCGATAAACAATCAGTGTGTGTGTTTTATAATGAATGTTACAGAAAGTGACAGGATAGCGATAGCGATGACGGCGACAATTTATAAAATAACTTATTACCATAATACATCTATCTGTTTTATTTGTCATGTTCCTTCATGATTACATTTTTTTTTATTTCACACACAATTATAAAAGAAAAGTCTCAGATCGTTAATTAATCGTCAAAACTAAATTATCGGTTCAGAAATATTAAATTTCCTGATATACTTAGTTTACTAGAGTAAAATTATAAACGAGAAGAATCGATCCAGAAATATTGCATTTCCATATCGAATAATTTCGCAACGTCACTATTTAGTACTTGTCATAACGTTGCAACACTGAAATTGTCAAATCTGGAATCTAATTAAAATTCCGAGTATACAAAATATGATTAGGTGCAGTCGTTCGAGAGTTTTATGCAGCACAAACACACACGAATGGAAACTTTTGCAATGAATAAAGCTGTAGGCGTTTACAAATGAGAATCGTTAAATATTATAAATCATGTAATTTCTTCTCAAGTACCTAGAATAAAATTATTATTGGATTTTTCTATATTGTAAATTTGTTTCTTTCATTTGTTTTATTACATGGGACTCATAACATAAATAGTGAAAAGTAGGTGTTACATTGTTCAATGGCATAATGTGCACCTCTGCCTGCCCCTTCGGGGATAAAAGGCGTGATGTTATTTTATGTTTGTTAAAAAAACGTCTCCTTCTTTCACAGGAATTCTCTCAGGTGGCGTTGACGCTTGCCGAGGGGACTCTGGAGGCCCCCTAGCATGTATGACTTCAAACAGATGGCAGCTTCACGGAGTCGTTTCTTGGGGGTCTGGCTGTGCTCGCCGGGCAAGGCCAGGAGTCTACACTAGGGTAGCTTCTTACCTGGATTGGATTAAACGAACAGCTTCTGGACTGGGTCATAAGATTGGGTACTAACAAGATGAGATGGCAAATAATCTGGGTGTCTTCAAGGCCCGAGTGAATAGGTTGCTTATATAGCCGTGCTCCTTCGTAGGCCGTATTAACGTGCACCGCGAGGCGAGATACTGGCCTAAAATGAATAAAACATATATAGAAGTTCCTCATTGGATGAAAACTTATTCTTAAATCAAACGTTGCCCCACGTTGCCAGACCGGCTAGGCTGTAGGGTAGTATCCTAAATTTTATTTTAATGTCCGTCTGGTAGATTATTTTAACTCGTTGAGTACCGTCATTTTAGACACAATTAAAGAACATTAGGTTGCGGTCACCGGTGTCCACTCGGTGTTTGACAGTTTAAATCATTAGACACGTATTTTTTCTTTTCTTACAAAATTAAAGCTTTCGAGGATACATTGATTTGAAATGTCGTGTGACGTCACAATTTACTACATTTTATAGGATAGCATGACGTAACCACCTCCCACTCCTAAACATAACTCCACTTTATCTAAGTACTAGCTTTTACCCGCGGCTTCGCTCGCGTCACAAAAGGATAAAAAGTAGCCTATGTGACATATACCAATACACACAGCGCCATCTATACCAATAATTTCGTTTTCTCTCGAGAATATCAAATTTTTCCGGAATAAAAAGTACCCTATTATTTAATCCAGACTTCTAACTTTACGTCTGCAAAAATTCAAAACAATCGGTTAAGTAGTTACGACGTGAAAGTGGAACAAACAAACAAACAAACAAACTCACTTTCCGATTTATAATATTAGTAAGGATTGTTTTCTTATACGACAAAATAAAAAAATACGTGTCTAATACTTTTTCCATTATCTAACTGACGGACTAATTACATTTTTAATTTTCATACACTGTCTACTGCCCTTGTCAATTCGAACTCTCGGTTAAGGCTCGATCACAGTCTCGCCTGTATCGGTCGAAATTATTCTGACGTCACAACCAATGACACTTCAAAAAGTATAAGTATAGGGGAAGTTCACTTTGATATTTTGAATTGAAATTTGTACAATTATAGTCTGGTGGATCACATAAAGAATTGTTTCGAGTCGATAGATTAGAAACTATAGTAGGTACATTGCTTAACAGGGTGCTTACTCTTGAATCCAATTCCGATCGATCGACATTGGTATTGTGAAATTTCGTACTCTTGAATTGCAACACTAGCGCCCATTGCATCTGTATTGCGTGGATATTGAATGAACTAAATGGTATTGAGTTTGGCTTTATATTCCGTACTCTGAATGCTATTTTAACAGCTATGGTAGTGGTTGTATAGTTTGACATTGAATAATTATTGAGATTTTATTGGATTGAAATTGTATTGACATTGAGATTGGTTTCAAGAGTAAGCACCCAGGTCAGTTGCTGCGCCAACTATGTAGTCAAATTGAAAGTCCTTTATAAAAAAGTATGTAAGTATCCATCGTGAAATTTATTTCGTTTCCGTCCCGCGGCAAAACAACTTGCCATAAGGAGTACCTACTTTCGATGTATAAAGTAAAAACAAAAAAAATATAGATGTAATTTTTTTAGTTTTAAAAATACTTACATGGCAATACGCACATGAAACACTAGACGTAAATTTATAGGCACTATTCGCATCGCACGTGTCACCCGACGAGAAACACCTCTTCGAGAATTACAGGGCGTGCATAACAACATCACGCCTTTTATCCCTTCGGGTAGGCAGAGGTGCACACAGAAGTAACACCCACTTTTCACTATTTATGTTATGAGTCCCATGTTATTACATGCCTATTACCATATACCGGGCACATTACCAGATTCCGTACTACTACTGAGATTTTTTAAAAACCCAGTAATACTTTGCCTGACCCGGGAATCGAACCAGAGACCCCTTACCCGGCAGTTACATTTAAAACCAGTCGGCCAACGAGGCAGTTTTTAATTACAAGGCGTGATGTTTTGATAAAGTACTATGAGTTCGTATGCGCTCTCGAAGTTTGCGTTGCAATGGTTCACCAGTTATTTTTTGTTTTAAACATTGTATTTGTTTGTAAAACTATTGTATTACCGAGACAGAACCATTTTACTTCGGGACGAAAACGAAATAGATTTCACGTTGTATTGTAACCACACTTCTGTATTTCTGTCTACCCTTTGAGGTATAAAAAGCCATGTTGTAATGTTAACTAAAGTTACCATATAGGTTTAAGTTTAACGCCAAAGGTTAAATCGTAAAATTGTAATTAATAATTAACCAGTACTTATAAGTGTAATATTAGAATACTTAGAATAACATTATTTATGTAAGTAGATGTTGTAATTAAAATTAATTTATTATTGTGAAACGTTTTTCGTTTACCCTTATTATAAGAGGAGGCCTTTATCGGCCAGTGTTCGTCTTCCACACCCGCAACACTAGAGGACTTAGTAACAAGAGATTGCAAAAATAACTAGGGTTACTCACGACACCGATGCGAGCGCCAACGCTCGCGGAGAACCTAATACCTAAAACCTTAAAAAAAAGTCTAGGCACCGCGACATTGCCGCGACTGCGCACTCTGCCATGAGGAAGAATCGCTCTGTGGTTCGAAACTAGTAGAGCTTTTCTCAGTATATTCACGTGAGTAACCCGCGATTTTAGTTAATTTAATATCTTTTAGTCTCACGATAGTTATTATAAAAACAGGAATATCGCAGTTTAAAAGGTTCAGGTTTATCAGAGACGCTGCTGCCTGTGCCAAGTATCTGTTAAATGTGTAGTCCCTTAGTCGGGTATAAGACACCCAGGGGAAAAGTAGGGGTGGTGACAAAATGTGTTGTAGTCTGCCGTCGCGACATGAAATTAGGTGACAATGGGGTACCTGCCAACTTGTTAAATTCAATATTTTTTTTTGTGAATTGTCAAAAACGACAGTTTACTATGAATTTTGTACGAGATTGTGTATTGTGACGTCACGTTTTTTAGCGTATACTTATTTCTTAAAAATTTGCTGGTAAAATACTAAAATTAAGTTGGTCATAAAATCAATTAATGAAAATGTGTTATATTTTTTATTATTTTATTGTATTGAACAGTCGAAATAATTCATTTTTGATTATGGAACGTACCCAATTAGTCCAAAATATAATGTAGGAATAATGTATCTAGAAAAAACCATCAGTGCTCATTTTATCACTCTAATTTGACCATGAGCCACTTAAAAATTATAGTAAATAATTATAGAAGTTAAGAAATCTTACTGTTTAGCTTAAATTTGTGACTTAATCTTATCACTAAGTTATTGCAACGAAATAAGTTCAAAGTGTCAGTAGATTAATTGACTAAATTGTTGACAATATTATATTTAATGCTGTCTCGTTGGCCGAGTCTTCAAAAGTGCGACTGCCTCAACTCCCGGGTAAGAATTACTGGGTTTTTTTAAAAACATCGAATGGGCCGGCTCGACCGGAGTGATACCACGGCCGAGCAGAAAACCGACGTGAAACAACAAACAACTATTGTTCTTTAATTGTGTCTATAATAACGGTGTTCGACGAGTTAAAATCGAATTGCTGGCTTCATCTACATAGGTACGGGAGTTTGTCATAATACAACGCCTATCGAGCAACGCACCTGTGAATCCTCTGGTGTTGCGGGTGTCAATGAGGGGCACTGATCGCTTACCATCAGGTGATCCGTCTGCTCGTTTATCTCCTATTCCATAAAAAAAGCGACTTGAACATTAAAATTTAAAAGGGGTCAGGTTTATCTGGGAGTGTTGTTGTCTGTGTGTGTCGTGGTGACCCAGAGACTAAGACCTCGAGGGTGTGTTCGAAACCTACCAATAGCAAGTAAAATGAGACTTTTTCCGAGTTATATGTACTTTCTAAGATTATCTAGACACCAAGGCCAAACGGTAAACGAAAACATCGTGAGGAAACCAGGAGGTCTACTCCGGTTCTCGAATGCGAAGTTTCGTTTGATTTGCGGCGGCAAACAACGTTTTCGGAACCATAGACAACTTTCGTGAACTACAATGAACGAATGAAGTGAAGATAAATAAATGGGCAATAAGTAGGTTTAGATTCGAAATTAAATATAAAATTTTATTTTAAGTAATTATATTACTAAAATCATAATGCCATGGCTAAGCACACATAATCATCAAGAAAATCATGAATAATCTTTTAATATTAACGTTTAAGTTGAAAAATCTTAAGCAGGATAAGAACCTCCTTTCAAAAATGTATTATACGACCAAGTTAAAAAGTTTTAGAATGTTTTTTTTGTCATTTATTGACATTTATGTATAAAATAATGACAACCAAATTTATTCGTATTATATTAGTACAGTCAGTTTAAAAATTATAAATGTCTACATGAGAATTTGAAGAGACTAAATTATTTCGTGTTATGATGATTAACAATATATTTTTGAAAAAAATTATCTTATCTATAAATGTTGGTATAGTAATAGATGTGAAAGAATAGCGAAAATATATACTAGCAATACTTAAGTTAATTTTTCTAGCGGTATTATTAGTTTTAAAATAAAACATTACTCATTAAACATTTATGTTCAATACATAAGTTATTCAAATAAGTATTTGATTAACCTAAATGTTACTAACTCTCATAGACATATAAAATATATAGGTTCGTGTTAACGAACTATTTGAGCTGACTGTACATTGATTTTATATCGTCATTTAAGTAGTTCTTTTGGTGCCCTACGTGTTGCCCACACAAAGAAACCGTGACAAAACGAAGACTTATAATTACTTTCCTTCATTTTTCAATAAATTTAACCCAAACGAAAATCAAACGATAACTATTTTGGTTTCGTTGAAATGACATTAAACGTCCGAAGAATAATCTGTCAAACTCGAATTTTCGTTCGTGCGGATTGTACAATTAGAGTAGGGTTCCGAAAATATCGATGTCAAACAGTACATCTCATACTAATTTCTGGCTCATTTCATTCCTTTTTCGTTCGTAATAAATGCCATTGTGGTAGGTAATGTTCGAAGTTTCGTCCGAAACTTCGTTTTTCGTCGAATCAGAGTAGACCTACAGGACTTATAATTTCTAATTATAAGATTCAAATCGACAACCCGCAATGAGTAAGCGTGGTCATTAATGCAGTGAGCACTTGAACTATTTTGACCGGGTCTCACACACCCACGGGAAGAGCAGGGGTGTTAATAAAATGT